AGCAAATGTTTGCCTGTATGTGATATAAATGATAATGTTCAATGATTTTGCATTCCATTTAGTCACTTTTTTTTGGATTGGGAACAAACATAGATCTCTTACAATTCATATGCAAGAAAACAAAAATCCTCACAACTGTACCAATAACTAACATCATGGAGAAAAGATTAAAGTTGCCAAAGGTTTAATTTTGCTTGGATCCATTATCCACACTCACGGAAACATCAGTCAAGAAATCAAATGACATAATTAATGCATTAGGCAAATCTGCTACACAAGACCTCTTTAAAGTGTTCAAAAGCAAAGAACATTATGAGGACTTAAGTGCATCTGACTAAAGCCATGATGTTTTCAATTGCCTCATATGCATGTGGAGATTGGATAATGAATAAGGAAGACTGTAGAAGAATTTATGCATTTGAGTTATGGTGATGGAGAAGAATATTGAAAATACCATGGACCTCCAGAAGAAAAAAACGAATCTGTTTTTGAAGAAGTACAGCCAGAATGCTCCTTAAAATCAAGGATGGTGAGACTTCGTCTCATATACTTTGGACATATTATCAGGAGGGACCAGTTGCTGAAGAAGGACATTATGCTTGGTAAAGTAAGAGGGTCAGCAATAAAGAGGAAGACCCCAACAAGATAGATTAGTACAGTGGTAGCAACAATGGGCTCAAGCATAATAATTGTGAGAATAGTGCAGGACTAGGCAGTGTTTTGTTCTGTTGTGCATAGGGTCACTATGAGTTGGAACCAACTCAATGGCACCTAAAATCAACAATCTGTTGACCAGATAGCTGTCTTCCACATTTTTGGCACAGATGACTTAGTGTCTCTGCACTGCATCAGTTTGTTGAAACTGCATCAGTTTGTTAAAACATTTTTATTTGTATTTCATTAATTCCTAGAGCTTTGTCTTCACCAGTGCCTTCAGTGCTGCTTGGACTTCTTCCTTCAATACTATCCATTTTTGATTAAATGCTACATCCTGAAATGGTTGAACATTGACCATTTCTTTTTGGTACAGTGATTCTGTGTATTCTTTCCATTTTCTTTTGATGCTTCCTGTGTCATTCAATATTGTGCCAATAGAATCCTTTAATATTTCAAGTTGAGGCTTGAATATTTTCTTCAATTTCTTTGAACTTGTTTTCTGACTCCAGGTCTTTGCACTTTTCATTGTAATACTTTGTCTTCTCTAACTGCACTGTAGAATTTTCTGTTCTACTCTTTTATTTCATCTTTTCTTCCAGTTCTTTAGTTTCTCTATGTTCAAAAGCATGTTTCAGAATATCTTTTGACCTCCATCTTGGAATTTTCTTTCTTTCTTTTTTTTTGAGTTTGACAATTTATTAGTGTTTTCAATAAAGACAGTCATTTCTCTCTCCCATCTTGACCTTAGCTAAATATTTAATTTTGGTCAAGAAAATAATATTCAGAAGAGGGATAGTTACTATCTTAACATAAACAGAAAAATGAACAAAATTAGAAAGCTTGCCTACATTAAAGGAAGTTAAACTTAAATTCATATATCTTGATATCATTAAATCATGTTAAGAACTAATAGTTTATACATTTCTACTGTTTTACTTAGCACTTATTCTTAACTTAAATTCAAGTGAATATACAATAGTCAGGCTGCTTCTCTGGAGTTATTACCTATTAAAAGAGTTCAGTGAGCAGTTACCACCAATAGTCTGAAGCATCCTCCAAATTTAACATTGTAGGAATTTTTCAAGGAAATCACTATATTTTATGTTTCTTTTGTTTGTGACTATGCTTTTAATGTAATTTAACCATCACACTAAGAAAAAAAGTTCATGTACAATACAAAACACAGAATCAGCCCCAAGCCCAACAAATTATATATGGCCAAAGATTCTATAACATGTTTGAAGATGCATTTTTTCCCCCTCTGTTTTCAATATCTAAAATGTGTTTTTGAGAGGCCATTGGTTAATACATATATACTTAATATTCTATTAAGTAAGGTCAATTCAAATTGGATTCCACAAATTAGTAACTTAAATACACTGACAAAGTATAGAAAGTACCATCTTCTCATTCATACAATTATTAATTTCGTTTTTGGGTGTTCACACCTTTAAAAAAAACAAAAGCAGCCAAATATTTAAGCAATAAATGTACAGTTAAATTTTTGGTGGTGGTCTATATTTAAAAAGAAACAGCTTTCTCAAATTCTGGTGGAAATGCTTTCAGAACTAGTTATAACAGAAACAAAGAGAAGCACATTCAAAATACTGATTTTTACTTTGGTAGCAAATGGTTGTTCTTTGAATAATAATTAATGTAGACATGACCCATTAAGGTGAAGTGAGCAATTTCAAATACTCAAACAATTTACATACCAATTTTTAAAAATGTTTAAAGAGCTAAGCATCCATATCTGATCGCAATGCAAAAACGATTTGATGTCTTGAAACTAAAAAAAAGCTTGTAAGAACAAAAAGCTGTATTTAATTTTATCTAAATTTACTTTCAGTCAATAGTTCAATAACATTTTTCCTCCCAATACAATATACAATACTTCCTTTTTTTAAGTCTGTTTCTGGGAACCAGACAGTTTTTATATAATGAGGCAGTTAAGTTAGTAATTGCTTGCATTTTGAACCAGTTTAAATAAACAGTAGCTTTTTGCTTCATTCTTAATGTGCTAATAATTGTGCCTTAAAAACATGTATTTCTAAGAAAGGTACCATTTCTGAGTTCTTTATTATCTGTAACCTTTGGAAACTAACCACATAAAATGACAAAATTAGCCAATGTCTTGAAATCTGTTGATAAAACATAAATTACCTCTAATTTCAAACTCTCATTTATTAGTGTACCACTCCATTTTTAATTAAGAAGGAAAACAAAAACAAAAATGCGGCTCCAAAGATAGTCTTATGCCATTTTTTTAAAAAAGGAAACTGTTCCTTTTAACTTTACACCCACCCCACACCCCAAATTCTAAAACACACCATTTAATTGTCTTGGTCATGAACATTTCCAAGATGAGATTTTATATTTCACTCCCATAGCTTCTGGTTGTCCGAAAACGGCTTTCCTTTGTTGAAGGAGTTTGGTTCTGCTGATGTTGGTGTATCCCTTCCAGTATTCTTCATCCTCATGTTCACTTCTGGAGGCATTTCCTCTGGTTCACTATCTTCATCTTCATTAAAAGCTGCTGCTACTGAAAGGGATTTTGGAGCAAGAGTTGGAACTTTCTTTAGGCTTACTTGATCCAAGTTTGATGGATATGGCTGATGCTCTCTTTGTCATCTAACTACCTATGGCAAATCCAAACTTGGAGATTTGTAGGCTTTCTTTAGCTGATCACTTCTCAGCGCTGCGAGTGGAACTTTCCTCTCCATTACTCTGGTGGTTCCAGCTCGTTGCGGATTCTCCGGCTTCCCCTCTCCCACCTTTCCATCCACCATTTTCCCCCGCTCTCTTTCCTGTCTTTTTAATGACCTTTTGCTCTCTTCATGTGTGATGTTCTTGATATCATCTCACAACTATTGTGGTCTTTGGTCATTAGTGTCTAATGCATCAATTTTGTTCTTGAGATGGTCTCTAAATATAGGTTGACTTTTAATTTTCTTCAGCATTATGCCAAGGGACCAAGCTAGGATCTGTATTGTATCTGCAGGGAGACTGATTGATCTTAGCCAGGGACAGGCATTCTGAACTGCCTCAGCAGGTGTTGATTAAGTCCCTGACCCAAGCTAGTCCTAGAGAGATTAGTTACTGGGTGGGAAAAATCTACTACGACTCAAGCATCTGATGGAAGTTGGACTAGACAACTCTCCAATTCTCTTCAAACTGAAAGATGTGATTCTGGGAAGCCAATTCAAGAGACTGTCAGAATAGGGATTTGAGCTGAGACTTTGAAAGACAAGCATGTGTTCAGCAGGGAGGGGTACTCCTGGGTGAGGGAGAAGTATGAGTAAAACTCTACAGATATGAATAAGCAGGGTTTGTGAAGGAATTTGGCCTGGCCAGAAGGGAAAGGTATGTGGAGGATGGGGAAGGAGATGAAACTGGAAAGGTAGGTAATGCCCGTTGGTACAGAGTTTCCACAGGGCCTGATGCTGAAGAAACACTTGTGAACACTTAAGGAAGGTAACCAAATAAAAGAATTTGGAGGAGATAGTGAAGGAGGGATTGATAATTTGTTTCCCTTGAGCAGATTGTCTCTTGATAACATGGCCATAGACTTCTGGAGAGTGGGGACTGCCAACACTGTTGTCCTACTCCACACTGGGTATCCATTAACTTTTCTTTTAAGAACTACTAAATGGAGTCCTGGTGTGGCCCTGTGGGTTAATGTGCCAGACTGCAAAGCCATTTGAATTGCAAGGTTGGTGGTTCAAGCTCACCAGCTGCTCCTCGGAAACCCTATACAGGGTTGCTATTGGTCAGAACCAACTCAACGGCACTTAACAACATATAAATAAGCCCCCGAGGGAGCTAGGACCCTTTCATTGTGGGCATGGGGGGTTGCTTTGTTGACCCTAAGGGTTGGAGGCAGCCAATTCAATGGGTGAGTCAATCTCTGATGTTGTTGTTAAGTACTGTGGAGTCAGTTCCGACTCATAGTGACCCTTCACAGGGTTTCGGAGGCTGTAAATCTTTACGGGAGCAGAACACCTCATCTTTCTCCCGCGGAACTGCTGGTAGTTTTGAACTGACGACCTTGAGGTTAGCAGCCCGATTCATAACCACTACGCTACCAGAGGTTCTTCAATCTCTGATAGAAGTAGAGAAATACCATATCTATGAGACCCTACTGGATCAAGCCTCTTCTTTCCAACTAGCCCAGGACCGCTCTTAAGCACTGCCTCTTGGAATGCTCAGTGCTTAGAACCCAGTGACCTCTTCCCTTAGGGAACAATGAGCCTGGACATTCTGGGGATTCCCATTTGCTGGACAAGGACAGGTGGATGGAGTCTCTCCTCAGAGTCACCAGCTAGGTATCAAGGCTCTACCTTATGGATTCTCCACGGGAGGACCTGAGCCTCCCTGGCGGTAAATGCCCCATCCAATCCCTGCTCCCTGCCTTTGGACTTGGGGGAAATTAGGGAAGACCCTTTGCATGGATGGAGTGGTAGCTGCCTGAAAGGAGGGATGATGAGCAGTTTTAAGATGTTGTCTCATTTAGAAAACTAAGGATTTCTCGAGGGCAGAGACCATGTTTCTCATTTTCATCAGAGGGAGTACTATGAGTACCCTGGGCCCATCACAGCTGAATGGTAAAATGATGGTGGAATGGGATAAGAGATTGGTGCCTCAAATAACTGATGGACTTGCCCTTAGTGAGGCTTCAGTCTGGTGAATTGAATGGGTCTGGGATGGGGAGCCAGAAGTTTGCTTGTCCTAACCTACGTAGGCCATGTCCTTTCTAGACCTAGCTTTCCATTATTTATAAAGAGATAAATGTCTCTAAGTACCCTGGAAATCTAGCTTTGATTAAATAAAAGAATGAACTTAAGTCATTAAGGGAAGGAAGGAATGGGCAGGGTGGTTAAGAGGATGGAGTGATTGATAATGGATTAACAAGAGGAATGCTCAGACACCAAGCTAGAGCTATTCACCAACCTGCCTTCTTCTTTTTGTCTTAGTGTGGGTCTCACTGTACTTTGGATTCCTGGGGCTGTGTTCTGTGGCAACTGGTGGCTGCATTCTCTTTCTACACTGGAGGAAGAATTTGCGACGAGAAGAGCGTGCCCAGGAGTGGGTTGATGTGATGAGAGCCTCCACATTCACCTACAGTCCGCTGTTATATTGGATTAACAAGCGACGGCAGTATGGCATGAATGCAGCTATCAACATGGGCCCTCCCCCTGCTGTCACTAAGACCGAGACTGAGGCCCCAAATTCAGATGCTCTGTGGGAATTCGATGTCCATGAAGGCATGGACCATTCTGTCCATGACAGCACTCCCAAAGTGGAAGCCCCTGTCTCCCTGCAATCTGCGCTGCAGCTGATCCCTCAACAGCCTCTACCCACCCTAATGCCGAAGCCTCAGGCCAGCTCTCCACTGCCGATCCCCATTTTTGAGGAGGTGCCCTATGCCTTGTCCATGTGCAACCTACCCCCCATGCTGAACCATTCTGTCTCCTACCCTTTGGCCATCTGTCCTGAGAGGAATATCCACTTTCATTCCCTTCCTAACATGGCCCGTGGTGACCACCGGGCCAGTGCCAAGCCTTTTGCTTCCGAATTGTAGATTCCTTTCACTGAATGGAAAATGCAGGCATCAGAGGCAGAGTAGGAAATGGAGCTAACCTCAGAGAGATAGTATTAGCACAGAGATCAGGGCTCATGGGGATGTCATGTTAATGAAAGATTAAACATTTAAAAAAGTCCAAGGCTCCCTTGTATATCATTTGCTATTAGGAGGGAATGCTTCTCCCCTCTTTGATAGGAGTACTTTGCACACCTAGCTGAAGGCCACTGAGTCTCACTAACACAGATGGGAGCTAAAGCATCTCTGTGTATGGGCTTAACATCTGCATAACCCAGTGTATATTAAAGACTAATAAAGTGAGCCTGGTGCTGGGTTAGATGCTCTTCTGTAGGCCTGCCTGCTACAGGAGTGTGAGCCGCTGCGGTTGCACATGCTATGGCAATTCCGTGTGGCTACGTTGGTGTGGTGCTGTGGGTTAATGTGCTGGGCTGCAGTCAGTTTGAATCGCAGTTTGTGTTTTTTTGTTAACAATATCTGACATACTGGGTTTTGGTGTGGTTGTCTTTTACAGATGAAGAAACTGAGGTTCAAAGGGCATCCACTAAAAACCTATTTTTTTATGTTGTCAGAGTCAAGACTCAACCTTAAGTCTGCCTTATATTCCTACCATACACCAGTATCCTTCCCTAATAAGCCCTGCTATAAGACACCTGCAAATGCTTTAGTGTGTAGGTATGTGTGTGTGTAGGGTAATTAATTCAGTGTCTATAAACTGGTTTGGGGAAAGGAATCCCCTAAAAGACTGATCCACAGGATATCTTTCTCAAAGCGACCCCATGTACAATAAATGAAACACTGTCTGGTTCTGTGCCATCTTCACAATTGTTGCTGTTTGAGCCCAGTTATCGTGACTGTGTTCCTCTATTTGGTTGAGGGTCTTCCTCTTTTTTCACTGATCCTCTAAGCATGATGTCTTTCTCCAGGGCCTGGTGCCTCCTGATATTATGTCAAATGACATGAGATGAAGTTTTGTGATCCTTCCTTCTAAGGAGCATTCTGGCTGTACTTCCAAGACAAATTTGCTACTCTTCAAAGAGTTAGTTCTTCTCTCACACACTCCATCTCTCCCAAGACCCTGTAGATACCTAATTCTGAGCCCTGTAGTCTTTGCTTCTTCAGGCTAAATATTGTGATTCTTAAGGCAGATTCTTGAACATTAATTTGTGTCAACCATCTGTTAGCCTTGGCTTTCCAAAGGACAAAGAATCTATAAATATAGGGAATCTATTTTTTCCCTTAGTAATCTGGGGGGTGACTTTAGTCATAGACACAGTGAGAGAGAAAAGGGAAATGTTTTATTTAGATAAATTAAAATGACTGTGTTACTGATATGAAATAAGCAAAGCTCAAGTCTTGGAAGTCAATCCCTAAACATAACTGAAATTGCTTATACATTACCAACATAGCGCCACTAAAACAAAGTGGATTTACATTTCTTAATATGAGAAAACAACAAGGTGGCTAGGTTCGTATAACAAACAATACACGCTCTATAAAGTCTCAGGAATACCCAAATGTGTTCTGTTTTGGATATGAAAGGGACCACATCTAGCTGGTGGTGGTATGCAAGCCAATGAGGTGTGTAGCAAACAAAATCTGTCAATAAAAACAACTCAACAGCAGGCCATTATGAGTATGTGTCCATTGCAGTCAAAATCCTCAACTGTGACCGGAGGGCCAGCAAGGGGTATTCAAAGGGTCATGTCTAGCAACTGTAAAGGTAACTCCAATGGAAAGGAAAAGAGCCAGCAGCAGGTGAAGGTTATTCCCTCTCTAGCTCAGGTGTATCAGCTACATTCCTCTCTGCCAGGTGCCTCTCTGCCCTTGAGATGACACTGTCATCATTCCTAAGACAAGTACTCTATTCTTTTGGTTCCCCATTTCCTACAACACCTTTTGCCTCTTTCTTCTTTATGGGAAGGCTCTTTAAGTAATGCAATACAAGACAGTACAAGGCAAAAGAATAAAAGGACCAAGAAGCCAAGCTTTGGGTAACTTAGGAAAAAAATACTACAAATTGCTAGAGGAAAAAATAAGTAAAACAAGCCAAACTCATCACCAGTATTCAACTTTTCTCTGAGAGCTCAGTCATGTGGTAGGTGGGGCTAAAGCCAAGAATAAAAACCCTGAATTAAGCATTGATTAATAGGCTGTGAGGCTCTTACGGCAGTCAGCCTGCTTAACTTGAACAAAGGAGTTCAAGATGCCCTACTTTCGCCTGGAGATATGGTATTTTCTCAGGCACAATGATAAAGGCCTTCACAGCTCTGGGAGTATAGCACTGTCACTTTCATCAGACTTGATAGGTAAAGAGGATGGTACAACACAGCTGGCTCCGGGTGATGCTAACCCGAAACGCTCAAGGTGGGAAGAACGTTGATAAGACAAACTAAAAAAAAAAAACCTTTTAAATAAGACATCCACTTATTGCTATCTGATGCAAAAGAAAAGTATACAACAAAGAGTTAAGGTGTCCTTGAAGCATCTGCCTATGAATAAGAATTTGAAACTAAAAAAGACAAGCTACATTACCCTCAAGTATATTTCATATAAATCAGTTCTCAAAAAAATACCTTCCAGATACATGCATACTATTTATGATATAGTATATACAAATATAGTAATATAATTCAATTTATTGCTACAATTTTATTTGGTTATTACAAAATCTGTAAGGGTGTATATATTAAAACAAAACAAAGCAAAAAAGGTGTGCGTGTGGAAGGCAGTAAGAAAGAGTAAGAGTTGTTTTCAAGTTACCTAGAATGCCAAGCTAATTGTAACCTTTCCATGAAAATGAACTAGCTCAGATGGATAAGGAAAATGTTTTTTTTTGTGAAAAAATTGAGAAGCAAGCATAAGCCATAATGAAGCAAACAGACACATTCATGGAAAAACACACTTCACCTTAACTAAATTTTAATACTTCTTGAAAAAATACCAAACTGAACATCATGTAAAGAAACAAATCAAAACACCACAACTCTTAAAACTTTTAAGGGTGCTGGACTGCATCCATGGCTGATAGGGCACAGAAAATGAAATGAGTTCTACTAAACTAGTGTGTGCCATGAAACTTCTCTAGTTTCTCCCTGACTTGGCCCACAGCAGTTTTTCTCCTTTTGTGTTGCTCAAAGACTGTCCTAGGAACATGTAAATCCAGACTCAATAAACAGGAGACATGGATGCATTTTACTCCTTCTAGTCCATGGACCTTCAGTGTCAGGTCCACGGAAGAATTCTTTAAAAGGAGGAATATTGTACTTTCTTATATTTAGATTTGAGGAAACTTTCTACCATCACATGAAGTCCTCCTGCTCCAGGCAACCTATTTTGGGACAGAAAACCTTTAGCTACTTGAAAGCTGAAAATGGATTATAATTCCATGTGTGTTTTTTTCTGTTTCATTTCACCACCTTTTTGGCTTTAGTAAGCCCACAGAGAAATATATTGGGTTTTTAGTTAACTCCCAGATAAAAGCTCAAAGGATGAAAATTCCTGGGCCAAAATTAGAGGCATAGCTTTCCTCTGACACTCCTACTGGTCAGGCTGAGAGTGACTGAGGGATTCAGCCTTGTTAGGATGGGGATGACAGCAGAGTTGGGAGCCAGCTACAGCTTTAAGACAGATTTGGGTTGGTAGTGGAGGCAGATAATCCAGATCACTTAGGGGGCAAGTAAAGCTCCCACTGGATAACTCTTTATGTTCATAAACACTTAAATAAGACTAAAAACGGGGAGAAAATCTCAATGAGACATCTGATTCACAGATTGAGCTTAGCTGAGAGGATGAGAACACTGTAGACTCCTAATTCTGAGCCCTGTATTTACTCTCTGGAGCCTAGAGTCAGTACAGTTCCCAAAGTGCCTACCCTCTAAATCAATTCCCCAAGTCACCAGGCCAAACCCCATGAAAACACCTGAGCCTTCAAGGGATGCCTTAAGGAGATGAGGACATCGCTTCAACTGCTACTAAGAGCAGATCAGTGAGTTTTAGTAACGAGCGATTTCTTCGGATACTGTTTTAAACCATCCTTCTGATAAAATATGCACAATTCTTTTTAACTATTTACAAACAGAAAAGGCCTATCTTTTAAGAAAAGACATTTTCTGAGTCACTATAAAGTGCAGCTAATTTAAGGCAAATTTATGTGAAATACAAAAGGTGGCTTATTCACTTTATATGTACATTTTCCAGTTCTAAAAGATAAGGTCTCTTCCTCTCAAAACAAGAAGAGAAGCAGAGAGAGAGAGAGAGAGAGAGAGAGAGAGAGAGAGAGAAACCAGAGCTTTACTTTTTTCTGGCATATTTAAAAGGTAAGACCTTACAGGTTTCAGGAAATCTGAGGTTTCTGAATATAAGTAGAATGATCTTTTCTTTTTAAAAAAATAACTTTTATATAGCGTCTTCACACAAGGTAAAAGGTGACAATGTGTCTGCTACAGTAGTTTAGAGGACTGGAGAATTAATTGATGGGATGTTTCAAAGTTGTTGTTTGTTAGGTGAGTAGCTATTAGGTAGTTCAGCACATATAATCATATCCAAAATATGCCTGATGAGGCTAGACACCTAATGCTACTCTTAGCTCCAGGAATGAGTATCTTCCATCTCCATCGGAATCAAACACTCTCAAGTTCTTTGGTTCTGGCACAGCAGAACCTAGGGAGTTCCAGATTTCCTGGTATGTCAGCTTCCCATCCATGCCCTGGCCAGTCTTTTGGAATAAATCCTGAAGATCTGTCAAACAGGAATTACAAAAAATGTTTATGTCTATACATATAGTTAATTTAGTTAATAGTTAAAATAGTTTTAGCTGAATTTAAAGCACTAAGGAAATCTACATCACATATTTTGTTTCCAGAGATATAAAGTTTAAGCTCTCACTAAATCAGGAAAACAAATCTTCTTTTAAACATTTATTATGATTTGAAATAAGGTTTACAGACCAAATTTGTTTTCTAGTCAACAATTCATACACCTTTTGTTTTGTGACACTGGCTGTAGTACCCACAGTATAACAGCATGCTTCTTTCTTTCCTATCTATACCTGTCTTCTGAACTTTGTCCCTTAGCAAATGCTGTCCTTTTGATATTGTATGGTTGATTTTTCTAAGGAATGTCTACCTCCCTGGTGTTATTGTTCACTTTATAGGCTGGAAGTTGAGGCATGGGGGAGAGTTTAGTTCCAGGCTTGAGGGTTCTACCAGTCTTTACCAGAATAGTAAGCTTTGTGTGATTTTGAGTTTTGTTCTACATTTTTTCTCCGACTTTGTCCAGGACCCTCTATTGTGATCTATTTCAGAGTTGTCAGTAGTGGTAGCAGGGCATCACATAGTTCTTTTGGTGTCAGGGTCATGGAGAAGACAAATTAATTCCTAATACTTGAAGAATGAGAGGTTTACTGTATGGCTTTACTTTGTAAAAATATAAGCAGTGATAGACAATTGCATGAGAAATGAAAGGTCTGGTTTTCTCTTTCCAGGGATTTCTCTTTAGATTTTTTTCCAATGTTGAAGAGGGAGAAAAAAATTAAAGGCCTGAAGAATTACTTTGGAGTCCTTAGGTGGTGCAAATGGTTAAGTGCCGGAGTATTAACCAGTAGACTGGTGGTTCAAGCCTACCCAGAAGCTCCTTGGAAGTAAGGCCAGGTGCTTGGCTCCTGACAGGTCACAGCCTTGAAAATGCACACATAAGATTGCCGTGAGCTGGAACTCTCTCAATAGCAGCTAACCAAACTGACTGAGAGAGGTGCTACTTTTTAGGAGCTGAGCATACTATGGCATAGTGTAAGATTTCTTGTTGGATGGCTGAGTGAGGGTTGGTGACATGCCATGGAAGTCTTTAAGCAGTAATAATGCAAAAAATTCATATAGTTTTCTCAGTTTGAATAGGAAAACCAAACAGGAAAGTAACTTGCCTAAGGTCGTTTACTTTTAGTGTAGTGGTTATGAATTGGGCTGCGAGCTGTAAGGTCAGCAGTTCGAAACTACCAGCTGTTCCATGGGAGAAAGATGAGGCGTTCTGCTCCCGTAAAGATTTACAGCCTCAGGGTATCTGTACAGGGTCGCTATGAGTCAGAATCGACTCCATGGCACATAACAACAACAACAACAAATATGGACCAGAATACAGGTTTTCTTGCAGTAGTTTGGTGCTCTTTTTACTACATCACATTATCTCTCTGGATCCAGATATCAAGCAGTTCAAGAAGTAGGGTCTCAAGACCATAATTACCACTTTGTATCCACTAGGATGAGTGTAATAAAAAAAAAGGACAGAAAATTACAAGTGTTGGAGAGGATGTAGATAAATGGAAAGCCTCATATATTGCTGGTGATAACGTAAACTGATGCAGTCACTGTGGAAAACAGTTTGGCAGTTCCTCAAAAAATTAAACATAGTTACTGATATAATCCAATAATCCCACTCATATAACCCAATAATCCCACTCACAGGTATACAAATCCCTGAGAAATGAAAACATATGTCCACATAAAAATTTATACATGAAAGTTCATAGCAGTATTATTCATAATAGCAAAAAAGTAGAAACAACTCATATGTCTATCAATATGAACTGATAAACTGTGGATGTAACCATACAATGAAATAGTGGGCCACAGGGTACAGGACTATTATCTTTTTTCAATGTTAAATTTGGAGGATGCTTCAGATTATTTTATTGGTTGCAACTGCTCACTGAGCTCCAGAGAAGCAACCTGACTATTGTATATTCCTAATACTTTGCTCACTTTGACTCTCTGTATCATATTTTGGTAAGTCTAGCAATATTTCAAACTTATTCATAATGCTATTATTGTTGTTAAGTGCTGTTGAGTTGGTTCCAACTCTTTACAATCCTGTGTAGGGTTTCCAAGCAACACCTGATGGGTTTGAACTGCTGATTCTGTAGTTTGTAGTCTAATGCTGATCCTACAGTAGCACACCAGGAGTCCATTCATAATGCTATTGTATGCTTAATAGACTACAGTATTGCGCAAACATAACTTGTGCATGCATTAGGAAACCAAAAAATTAGTGTGACTTGCTTTATTGCAATATTTGCTCTGTGGTGGTCTGGAACTGAACCCTCAATATCTGAGATATGCCTGAACAAATAAAATCTCAGAAGTTCTCTGAAAGCCAGAAAAGCAGATGAATGCTTGGTTCCAATGCCTGCCACCCAGTGGTTAACTGGAAAATGGTTTCTGAAAATTTATTTGTCTGTACTTGCTTATTTATTTATTTATTGGTGATCTGAATTTACACAATACACTATGCACTTGGTAGCAATATTAAAATAAAAATCCTATTACTGTTTCTGAAACAACTCCTTTGCTGTCAAGTCAGTTCCAACTCAGTGACCCTACAGAAGAGAGTAGAACTACCCCATAGGGTTTCCAAAGCGGTAAACTTTTATAGAAGCAGGCTGCCTTATCTTTTTCCTACAGATCAGCTGGTGGGTTCAGAATGCTGCCCTTTTGGTGCCACCAGGGCTCCTGTGATTACTGTTTCAAATAATTTTAAATTTTAAACCCAAGTTAGGAGTTAAAGTGTAAATGTTAAGATGGCTATTTAAAATCGGTTCTAACAGCCTACCGCATTCAGCTCCATCAATTCTTGATGTAATAATGGAAAGGAAGAGTAGGCAAAACTCAATACTTACACTTCTCTCCAGAAAAACACAAAAAAATCAGGATAGGGAAAAACAGTAATAGCATTTAAATGACTATGAAAATTAAGTCTTAAGTATTAGCTATAGCCTAAAGATAACTAATTTAATAAATATTCCTTTGTGCCAGGCACTGTGCTAGGGGCTGGAAATACTAGAATGAATAAGACACTGTCCTTACCTATGAGAAGTTACATTTTATTTAATATCTTTCCCAAGATGTTATGAATAGATATGTACTAAACAGGGACAAACGCATTATAAGAGCAAACAGGAAGAACCTAATATAGTCATAGGAGGTAAATTTATGTCTCCTAGAAGAATAGTATCTAAGTGAGGTGAAGAGCCAGGCACTAGTGGGTGATTTCCCAAGCAATTAGTAAATGTAAAAGCTGAAGGCTCTAAATATCATAAGGGAAAAGACATACACTGTTGGAAATAATGCAAACCCATTTTCTATGAATCATATTCTTTCCACTAATGTTCATCTTGCTGATTTTCAGCAAAAGGGCCTCGTATTTTTGGACAGCCCTAATAAACAGGGTCAATGTTTACTTTGATAATCTCCTAATATTGTGTTTGCTTCTATGCCTTCTCCACTAGACTGTAAAGCCTTTGAGGAAAGTGAGACCATATCTTATGCTATATTTCTACTGTTTAGCAGTGGGTCTAATTATGTATTCAGTGAATAAATGAAGATTCTAAAAATATTAATAGAGAGACAATGTAGTATACTGGTTAAGCATCCAAACTTTGGTATTTGGCTGTCTTAACTTGAAATCTACTTTGACCAATTATTTGCTGTGTGAATTCAGGAAGTTTGTCAATCAGTAAAATGGGAAAGGATATATATATAGTCACAGGTTGTTACATATTTTTTTCTCCTGGTGGTCACTTGTCATATTTTTCTTCTTAACTATTTTATTCCAAATTGATTGAAGGTTTACAGAACATATACTCAGTCCCACATTGAACAAATAAAGATGATTTTAATGCATATAAAGGAACTCAATAAATGTTAGGAATCGTTTTTACCAAGTTAAAAAAGCAAACAAACAACATAAAAAGCTATTACTTTCAACACGTTCCTTTACTACTCTGCAGGAAAAAAATTTACCTTCAATGCTTGAAATTCCTGGTAGGGAGATAGATCTTAGTTGGACAGCTTTCTCAATTTGGTCTCCAAGAAGTGATGAAAATTTTGGCAATGCTGATGGTTCTGATGAAAAACTCTGTACTTGCTCTATAATAAAAACACATGGTATCAGAATTATAGAATGATACCACATTAAACTGGAATTCAAGGTCACACTTTTTAGGGTAACTGCCTATGTATTTAACTATTTTAAGAGAATAGCTGGGAATTAAATAGCATAGTGATTGAGATGCTTTGTGGCAAATGAAGTTCAATCAGTATTATATTACACTAAGGTTTGGTGCTGTGGGTGCTGTGGGATAATGTACCGGACCACAAGGTCGGTGGTTCAAATTCATCAGCTGCTCCTCAGAAACCCTATACAGGGTTGCTATGAGTTGGAATGGACTTGACAACACTTAACAACAACAACAACAACAAAGGTTAGAATCAGCAGTTCTACCGGAAGATCTTATGGTATAGAGTTTAAGCTGTAAGTGCGAACAGGATAGTGGTTGGGTATGAAAGATGTTTTTAACATCCTAGGAGCCTTATTATAAACCAGGTCAGAAGTATGTACCACCAGCTAAACTGATGCTGAAAAAATGCTTCCACAGGATTATAAAGCACAATGTTAGATCAAAGACTCCCAGTGCAGTTCTATTGCCCACTCAACAGAGAATTCAAGAGGTTTGTATTGTTTGCCCAAGATGAATGTGGTGCTGGTGAGAGGGTATCAAAGCTAACAGAGACCAGCAGCTTGGTTATGTCTTTATGGGGCCTAAATCAGTGGGGGTTAATGCATTTGCTAGTATTGATCAGACATGTCCCTACTTAAAGCCATGGTCTCTTCCAACCCAATGATCCCATCATTATTTGTTAATGATTTTCAGAAGGACCAACATTTATTTTTAAGTAATTCTTATGCACTTACAGAAATGAAGACTCCCATAAACAATATTTAGGACTGGTTTGATATACACTATGATAGTAACGTTTTGCCTATAATTGGATGCAGACAGCATGGAGAAGTCTATTTCCAGCTAAACATTACCCATTTTTCCCTTAATAGACTAGAGTACAAATCATGTACAAAATGGGCTTTCTCTAAATGAAAGCAAAGTGCATCAGCTTCATCTCAGTGCGCTCAGGCAACATTCACATGACTCGATCAGTACTGTTGGAACACCTTTCCCCACTCCCTGTGTGGGAGGCAAGGTGCCCAAGTTGGCGTGAAATATTCAGAAGCCAGCCCTGCTCTCACCTTTACTGGCGGTCTCTGGAGGCCTGTTGCTCTCAGGTTTGTTTGTGAGAGCACTGATCAGCTGCAGTTTTTCTCTTAGCTTGTATACCTGAGAATCTGAACTATCTTCTTTCTGTCCAAAATAAAGATCACAAGAGATTTAAGGTGGCAGTAAGAACTCATCTGTTTCTTCACTCTCTTCCCAGAGCCTATTTAGCATGTATTGCTTGAACCTCAGTAAGTTTTCTATAAAGTCAATGACTGAAAGAAACGAAAACACTAGAGATACCCTTGGTACTCAGTGTTGATGAGGGCCTAGCTGGATCTGAGGCTAGACTATTAAGGGAACATTATGCCACAGATGATCTGATTCACTGTGAACATTTAGCTAATAGAGGAAGGTATGCGTGTGTCAGCAGCAGAGGAAATGTACCCTTGCTCAGGTACGTAACACCCATTTCCTAAATGAGTAGGATATTATTTTCTAGGAGCTATTTCATTCAACTTTCCCCAATATCCTATTTTTCCTTGTCACAAGATCACTTTATGGCAATAAACTTTAAAAAAAAAAAAAAAAAAGCAATAGAAAAACAATTAACAAAAAACTCCCATGGCGATGATTCAACTGGTGGCAGAAACTGTAAAGAATAAAGAAGGAGCTGCAATATTTCTAATTCAAAACCTTATTTGCTTATACCTTTTTGTTTTTGCTTTTCCCCTCACAGTCTGCTCGATTCCCAGGTGAATTTAGGGAAGCACATAAAAATATTTAATTATAAAAAGAAGTCTGGTTTGTATGAAGCCACTATAACTGCTTAAGCTAGTGGGAAAGGTCCTAATCCTATCTTTTGAATGACATCTGTTATTCAATGTGCATATATTTATTCTCTCCTATCTTTATTTCTGTGGAGTCCTGGTATGGCACTGTGGGATAATGCTTTGGACCACAAGGTTGGCTTAAATTGCAAGGCTGGTGGTTCAAATTCACTAGCTGCTCCTCAGAAACCCTATACCGAGTAATTATGAGTCAGAATTGACTCGGCAGCTAAGAACAATGTTACTATACAGTATATTGCCGTTAGTTTACTTGTTATGTGCCATTGAGTCAATTCTGACCAATGGAACTCACAGCAACACTGTGGACTCCTGATGTGGTGCTGTAGGATCACCACCAGACTGTGAACAAAATAGGCAGCTCAAACCTACCAGCGGTTCCTCAGAAACCATATACAGGGTCACTAAGACTCAGAATCGACTCGGCACTTAACAACAATAACGCTGGGTTTCCAAAGAACAGCTGATGGATTTGAACTGCCAACCTTGTGGTTCTAACCAATTTTGTCTAGTGCTACCCTACAGGTTGCCACACCAGGACTCCAGTTACTTGTTAAGTGCCCCTGAGTAGGTTCAGACTCATAGCAACCCTGTATAGGGTTTCCAAGGAATGGCTGGTTAGGTTGAACCACTGACCACGGATGTAGCGGTGCAAACAAACTTGCATTCCAGTTCATTAACTCGCAGCGCCACATCAGAGCTTCAGTTTACTTGTCGTTAGGTGCCATCAAGTCAGTACAAACTTGTAGTGACTCTATGCACAACAGAATCAAACACTGTCTAGTACTGGGCCAACCTCATAATCGTTGCTATGCCTGAGCCCACTGCTGCTGCCACTGTGCAAATCCATCTTGCTGGGGGTCTTCCTCTTTTTCCCGACCCTCCACTTTACCAACATGATGTCTTCTCCAGTGACTGGTCCCTCCTAACAGTATGTCCAAAGTATTAGAGATGAAGTCTAGCCATTCTGGTTTCCAAGGAACACTCTACTCTGGCTGCACTTCTTTCAACACAGATCTGTTGGTTCTTTTGGCAGTTCATGGTACTTTCAATATTCTCCTCCAGTACAGAAACTTAAATGCATCAATTCGTCTATGGTCTTCCTTATTCATTATTCAGCTTTCACAAGCATATGAGATTATTGAAAATACCATGGCTTGGCTCAGGCACAGCTTAGTCCTCAAACTGACATCTTTGTTCCTCAACACTTTAAAGAGGTCTTGTGCAGCAGATTTGCCCAATGCAATACATTGTTTGATTTCTTGTCTGCTGCTTTCATGAGTGTTGATGGTTATTCCAAGCAAAATGAAGTCTTTGATAATGTCAACCTTTTCTCCATTTACATGGATGTTGTTTATTGGTCCAGTTGTGAGGACTATTTTTTTTTTTTTTTAACATTGAGATATAACCCATACCAAATGCTGTTGTCTTTGATCTTCATTAGTATTTTAAGTCCTCTTTGCTTTCAGCAAGATTGATCATTTACATATGGTAGGCTGTTAAAGAGTCTTCCTCCAATCCTGATGTTATGTTTTCTTTATATAATCTAGCTTCTCAGATTATTTGTTCTGCATACAGATTGAATAAGAATGGTGAAAGAATACAACCTTGGTGCACATCTTTGCTAATTTAAACCACTCGTTGTTCCCTGTTTCTGTTGAAATAAATGTCCCTTGGTCTATGTACAGGTTCTTCATGAGCATAATTAAGTGTTCCGGAATACTCATACTTTCTTTTTGGTATTTTCTGCTTTCAGCCAATACTCATCTGATATTAGCAATGATATCCCTTGTTCCATATCCTCTTTTGAATCTGGCTTGAACCTCTGGAAGTTTTCTGTCAATGTATGATTGCAGCCATTATTGTATTATCTTTAGGAAAACTTTACTTGCATGTGATATCAATGATACAGTCCAAGATTTTCACATTCTGTTGGGTCACCTCTCTTTGGAATATGTACAAATAAATACAGCTCTCTTCCAGTCAGTTGGCCAGGTAGTTGTCTTCCAAATTTCTTGGCATAGATAAGTGAGTGCCTCCAGTGCCGCATCAGTTTGCTGAAAGATTTCAATTTGTATTTAATCTGTTCCTGGTGCCTTATTCTTTGTCAATGTCTTCAATGCACCCTGTACATCTTCCTTCAGATCACTGGCTCTAGATCATATGCTACTTCTTGAAATGGTTGGACAATTTCTTTTTGGTACAGCGACTCTGTGTATTCTATCTTTTGATGCTTTCTGCGTCATTCAGTATTTTGCCTATAGAACCCTTCAAAATACCGCAATTTGAAGTTTGAATTTTTCCCTCAGTTCCCTAATTTGAGAAATATTATGGATGCTTTTCTCTTTTGTTTTTCTAACTCCAGGTCTTTGCACACTTCATTATAATATTTGACATTATCTTATCAAGCTGCTCTTTGAAATTTTCTGTTCCACTCTTGAACCTCCTCTCTTCTTCCATTTGCTTTAGCATCTCTATGCTGGAGAGCAAGATTCAGTTTCTTCTGACATCCATTTTGGTCTGTCCCTTCTTTCTTGTCTTCTCAATGACCTTGTTCTTTCTTCCTATATGATATTCTTGATGTCATCCCACAATTCTTCTGGTCTTTGGTCTTTATTGTCTAGTGAATCAAATTTGTTCTACAGATGATCTCTAAATTCATGGGAGATATTCAAGGTCATATTTGGCTCTTGTGGAATTGTTTTCATTTTCTTCAGCTTTAGCCTGAATTTGCATATGAGCAATTGATGGTCTGTTCCACAGTCTGCCCCTGGCCTTGTTATCGCTGATCATATGGAGCTTTTCCACCGTCTCTTTCCACAGATGTAATCAATTTGATTTCTGTGCATTCCATCTGTTGAGGTCCATGCATATAGTCATTTTTTAATTTTTATTTTAAATGTTTTATTGTGAATTATGTGATAGTTTACATGGGAGAACATTACAGTCATCTTTTATGTTGTTTGAAAACGTTATATGCAATGAGGAAGTAATTGGTTTGCATAATTCTATCACGCAATTTCCAGCATCGTTTCTATCACCAAGGCCATGGTTTCTAACTACTGAACCTTCTTCGTTTCCAACCTTTGCATTCTAATTGCCAGTAATGATCAATACATCTTGATTATATGTTTGATCAATTTCAGACTGAAGAAGTTGGTAGAATTCTTGAATCTCATCATCACTGGCTTTAGTGGTTTTTATGTAAATTTGAAAAATAGTGGTATTAACTGGTCTTCCTTGTAGGCATATGGATATTATCCTATCACAGACAGCTTTGCACTTCATGACTGATCTTGGTATGCTCTTTTTTGATGATGAATGTGATGCCATGCCTTTTTAATATGTTATTCCCATGATAGTAAACCATGTGACTGTCAGGTTTAAAATGGCCAATACCAGTCCATTTCAGCTCACGAATGCCTAAGATATCGATGCTTATACATTCCATTTCATTTTTGATAATTTCCAATTTCCCTAGATTTACACTTTGTACATTCCATGTTCTGATTATTAACAGATTTTTACAACTGTTTCTCTTAATTCTGAGTTGTGCCCCATCAGCAAATGAAGGTCCTGAGGGCTTTACTCCATTCACGTCATCATGGTCAGCTCTACTTTGTGGGAGGTAGCTTTTTCCCAGTCGAATTTTTAGTGTCTTCTAACTTGAGGTGATCATCTTCTGGCACTGTATCTGACAACATTTTGGTGCTCTTCATAGTGTTTCAATATTAAATAATCTGGTGCTGACAGTGTTCCACTGCTAGTCATAAGATTTTCAGTGACTAAATATCTCCTTCTTCCTAGTCTGTCTTTGTTTGGAAGCTCAGCTGAAACCTGTCCACAGTGGGTGACCCTGATGATATTTAAAATATTCATGGCATAGCTTCCAGAATCACAGCAACATACAAGCCACCACAGTATGACAAACTGTCAGACAAGTGGTGGTCAGTTTACTTAGTTTACTTAGGGAGTACCCAGTTTATTTAGGGAGCTAAAATATGGAAACATGGAATGAAAGCAGGCAAGGTGACAAATATGATATAGGTGATTCAGATATTAAATGTCTGAGTAAATAAAGATAAAGAGAAATTGTAGCTAGTTAGGATGCTTAGATGAGGTAGGACAAAGAAACTAATTACATTGAGATGACTGTTAAAAACACAAAGGGTTATAAGTAGAGCCAAGAAATTTAGGCACAAATATGTTTTATTCTGATATTTACTGTTAAAATTTGAACTGTTGCTGAAATTACTACTTTCCAGTAATATTCACGTGTTACTTTTTGTGCTAAACATATATATATATATGGCTCTGGAACTTTTTTTCTTATTTTCTAGTTGAAGTTTATTTAAGATAAAATATTTGCTGCTGCAGCCAGAAAATTCAACAAAATCTAGCTGATGAAGAGTTAAATTTATAATGTATATGATTTTATCTAGATAATATAAAACTATTAAGGAACAAGAATAAAGATAGAACATGTTACATCAAAAGTGGTCTGTACTACGTTCCAATCCAAGTTAATTTCCTTTGAATCTCATTCTCTGAACTTCTCAAATGCAATGTGTACCTGACAAGATATGTTAGCTACTCAGTCACAATTTTTCTGATTTTTTAATTTTAGCCCAGGGCTTATAATATTAAATAACATTCTAATCACAAAGTACATTATAATCAAACTTTCCTTCCTGAATTAGCAAAACATATTATATAAGATTGCTTGGTTTATCTGGGAAAGTTAAAGAAGGTTCAAGGTGGAGGGAACTAGGTGAAGTTTTAATGGACTATGAATATATTGCCATTGCAATCTAAAAATGAGACACAATCTTAGGTTAGCCATCATTTTTAGATGATCTATGCTTCTGTTCCCCATCATCGGCACAGAAAACTTACTATCTTAGCTTAAAAGCCATCTCCTTAGGGAAGCCTTTCTGATCTCTAGTAATGCCCTCATCCTTTATACTGTTCCTTTGTAGCACTTATACTTGAGATTAAATTACCTGTTCAAGTATGTGTTAATGATTTTCTTACTGACAGACTTGGGCACCATAAGAATAGGGGTCACGTGTCTGTCCTGCTCATTGTGGCCACCCCAGCTACTAGAAAAGTGCTTTATACACTTTTATGGTGATGTGTTCCCATAAAGATTTTAGCCTAGGAAACCCTATGGGACAGTTTTACTAGGAGTTGGAGTCTACTCCATGGTCCATCTTACAACTATCAACAATCTAATTTCCTAATTACCTTGTCTTAGAGTTTCAATAAATGAGACCAACTGCTTCAGCAACTAAAATGTTTATGTTTGCTTCAGGGTAAGTAAGTCTCCTGTAAGGGGCGCTAGTGGAACAGTGCTTAAGGTTAGCAGTTTGAATGCACCAGCCACTCCCTGGGAGAAAGATGTGTCTGCTTCAGCAAAGATTTGTTGTTACTGTTAAGTGTCATCGAGTGGATTCTGACTCATAGCAACCCAGTATATATAGGGTTTCTGAGGAGCAGCTGGTAGGTCTGAACTTCCGACCTTGTGGTTTGTAGTCCAGTGTGGATCCTACAGGCCACACCAGGAGTCCTCAGTTAAAGATTAAAGCCTAGGAACTCTCATGAGGCAGTTAGTTTTACTCTTTCCTATAGGGTTGCTATGAGTTGGAATTGACTTGATGGCAACAGGTTTGTTTTTCTGGTTGTTGTTGTTAAGTGCCGTTGAGTCGGTTCTGACCCATAGCGACCCTGAACAGGGTTTCCGAGGGTGTAAATCTTTACGGAAGTAGAAAGCCTCATCTTTCTCCCGCGGAGCAGCTGGTAGTTTCGAACCGCTGACCTTAAGGTTCACAGCCCGAGTCGTAACCACTACGCTACCAGAGCTCCTTTAAGCCTCCTGTTATTTACCTTAATGCTTTGGGTTTTTGGTGAATCTGTTCTGTTGATCACTTGATCCAAAGACTCTCTTTTCAGAGTGGCTACTCTATCATCCATCTTAAAGTAAGTCAGGAGAACAAGAAGAGAAGGTTAAAGGCAAATATTAAAGCTTTAACATTCAGCACTTTGAAAACAAACTCATCAAACTTAAAGGTTCTCAGAACATTTTTAATAGAAATACCAGAGTAGTGAGAGAACAAAAGGAGAGAGGGAGAATGAACACAAAGATGCAAAGCTGAAACTGGTGCTTCTAACTGTTTCAGTCACAAACACGAAAACTTTGAAGTAAAAAGGGCAAAAACTCTTACCCAGAGCCATGCTGGGTATGCTATTAGAAGAAATAGTAGGACAGATGGATACTATTACCAATTTTCTTTGCTCAAGAAAAATAAAAGAGGCAGGGGCAGCTAGGGGAGTGTGGAGGTGGTAAATTTTCATAATAAGGCCTTGAAAACCTTCAAGGCATAATATTCATCAAATCATTCCAAATTCCTAACCCCTATTTAGCTTCTTTGAGTTCAAAAGGTCTTTTTAAAATCAAGCTCCTTTAATCTTCACAGCTTTGTAGTAAATTAGACATCACTGTAAAGCAGGAGGGGGAACAGGTCTTCCTACTCTTCCCTTCAAAGCCAAGGGAGTCGAGGCAACTTGCCAAAGCTCTACTGCGGCAGAGCCAGTTCAAACGTTACTTTCTAAGTTCCAGAATTCAACTTTATTTGTGGGCTTGCTTCCAGTTTTGGCGGTTACTTGAATTTCTAGTACAATTTCCTGTATTTGGTTTCTATTTCTTTATACATGTCTGTGTCCTTGCTGTATGTTCAAAGGTGGAGCCTGCAGATATTAAAATCGAATCCACCTGGAACACAGCACAACATACATGAAAACATGAAAAACCAAGCACCAACCCACATTGCATTGGTCATATGAAAGCTAGTAAGCCAGACTGCCTACCAGCATCAGGACTTAGTAGACCATTCAGTTTTCTTATAGGTATAATCAAGCGTTGGATTCAATAACCTCTTAGGTTCCTGCAAGCCCTCACTGGCAGGAAAGAGCTGGTCTGACCTGATGTGTTTTACATAGCTTTCCTGACACTGTATGCAAAAAGATTCCCCTAATTTGCAGATAATAGTAGGGTAAATATAAAAGCCAAGTTCAGGCATATGAGAATGACAAAAGATTCTTTAGATATGGTCAATTGTCACTGTTCCCACCCATCATAATCTAACAATGAAAAGATCAAGAGGACATCACTTGGAAATATGTGCTAGAGCTTTCCTACCAGATAGGTCACTGATAACACGATAGGAGGCTTGTCATCTCTGCCAACAACTTGTGGTGAGGCCTTGGTAAGCGACTTAACCTCTCCACATCTCTTTTTCCAAATCAGGACTAGCACTGTCTATGCCACTCACATCAAAGAGCTAGTATAAGGATTAAAGGAGACAAGGATTAAACACAACACAAATGCATATCCTCTTAATTATGCCAGAAGATAACTCCTTTTCAAAAGGTTGTGGAATGTCCCCTATGTACAGACAAAACACACTGCAATACAGAACATGCCAGAAAAGATCTGAAAAGGCTTACCATGCTGATGGACAGGTTCACTCTCTTTTCTACCTTGCTCATAGCAACCAGATCGCTTTCTATTAGGTTGACTCTGTTGGTAAGATTACTGACTGTCTCATTCATCCCCTCGAGTTTAAGGTCATTCTGCCTCTGGTACCCCACTAGGGCACTGTTTACCTCCTCTAAAGAGTTGTGAAGGTACAGGATATCCTGGAGTGAAAATAAATCAAGTTGAGGAATCCAGCTAAAGATGTTATACTATGCAAGCAGGCCATTAGTATATCAAGTTCATTGAAGTAAACTCCTCTTCCTGGTTGGTCATCAATTGCTCTGCCTCTGCTTTGTCCCTCCCACTCGTAGTTGTTCCCAGTTTACTCCCTCTGGAACTACTTAACCTCAGACAGAAGGAGGAAAGAGAGAAGAGGACTACCTACATGATTCACTCTCTGGTCCCTGGAAACAGAGAGCTTGTGAATTGATTTGCCAATGTTTACCTCACCTGCTGGCGGGAAAGCTTGCTGGGTTATTAACTGAAAAGGCCATTAACCTAATTTGTCAGAACAAAACTACCTTAGGAACAATACCAATTACTGAATTGGCTCATGTAACAAAACCATAACAAGTAGTGCATTATTTAGTACAAGATCCAATTATTTTTATTGACATACTCTAATACTGATTGCTACTTAAAAAGAAATTATGAGTATAGGTTTTAAAGGGCATTAAACTCAGGGACAGAAATTTTTCTTAGTGAAGATTTTATTTTCCTTCGTTAATGTGATTCTGAACCTGGTATCCTTCTACCTACTCCGTTCTGCTTTCAGTGTTCCTGATTTTCAAGGATATGTTTTATAATATGCTTAGACTTTACTATGCCATCACTCTGAATTAATCTGCTATCCATCCATCTTTAACTTGCCTAGACTGCTGTTTTTCACCCTTTCAGGATTATCAGGCTATTCTAAGTCTTTCAAGATGTAAAAAGGAATTTACTTCACTGACAGACATGCAAGAAAAAACAAAACAAAACAGGCAGAGTGCCAAAGAAGAGACAGGACAGTATTTTGTATCCCTAAGATACGAACAAGGAGCTCTGTAGCATAATGGTTACGAAGCGGCCTGCTAACCTCAAGGTCGGCAGTTTGAAACTACCAGCCATTCCATGGGAGAAAGATGAGGTTTTCTGCTCCCGTAAAGATTTACAGCCTCGGAAACCCTGTACAGGGTCACGATGAGTTGGAACCAACTTCACTGTACTTAACAACAACAAAGATACGAACACCGAGTCCTGGTGTGGCACTGTAGGATAAGTACTCAATCACAAGGCTGGTTTGAACTGTAAGGTTAGCGGTTCAAAGTCACCAACTGCTCCTTGGAAACCCTATACAGCACCTCTAAGGAACCGACTTGATGGCACTTAACAACTTAACACACATTCCTCTCAATTCAGATCTCATACAGGCAACTAAATGCATGTGATGCCTGCTGAACCACCCTAACACTGAGCCTAAACTACTCAGGCTGCCTCATAGCTCAAAGGAAGTTAATTAAGCCAGAGATAAAAAGTACCTGTTTCAAATTCTCACTGTGGGTTTTATTGTCACGTTCTGATACAACTGAAGGGGATGGAGTGATCTGGTTGCTTCCACTGGTATCCTTCAAGAAGTGCTGATTCTGAAACAGGAATTGAGGTTAGCATAGGTGCAGTTCAGTGAATTATTTAATGTCTCTTACAGTCTTACCTTTGTAATTCCCACTAAACGAGTCTTTTCCTGATTGTTCTGGGTAAGAAGTAGATGGGAGAAGATACTGATAGGATGATATGATTAGGCTGTGGATGTTAACAGAATTAACACTACCATCAAGAAGAAAGAGCCATGAATGGAGTGCATTATATAGACCATGAGATCCCTGCAATGAACTTCTTCGACCCAGGGACTGAAAGCTATTAACACTGGAGGAGTGCTAGAGGAGACGAAACAGCAGAACCAGGAACCAAAGCACAAGACAGAGCAGTGGGCAGTGGGATGCGTCCAGGCACTAACTGGGAACACTAGGTTTGCTGATACAAAGAGCTAGAACCAAGTGCCTTTAGGCTGAGGCTTATGGTGGAGTGGTGTGCCTTATTAGATTTTTTTTTTTTCTTTTTTAAAGTTTTTATTGTGAATTGAGTGAAAGTTTACAGGGCAGATTATCAGTTTTACATTCAACAAACCATACACCTTGTTTCATTACAATGATTATAATCCCTGCCATGTACCATCTGGTAACAATATTTCTCTTTATCCATTTTAGCTTTTTTAAAAACATTCTGGTATATATAATAATTTACACCACCAAAGGGCACATTCTGCAAGTCTGCCTCCTGGCCACCAGCTCTCAGTCCCTCTCTTCCCATGAACCTAGAGTCCTCAGCTGCTCCCTCTCTCCATGTCCCCATCTCTGCCTCCATCTCTGGTGTCGCTGTTTCTCTGGATTCCACTTGTGCTCTTCTCCCTTGATGGTCCCAGGGACCTGTTTATGGACTGTAAGATTAACTACTCCCCCCGTATTTGTTACAAAAATTTTACCTTTACAGTTGTGACAGTCATAATTAGTCATAACAATTGCTCACTATTGAATCATAAGAATCTTATCCCCATCTCTTTTTACCAGACCCATCTAGACAAGATGAAAATTATTCAGTGGGGACTCTATCTTTCCTCACACACTCTTAAACTAAAAATACCTTGTGAAGGTCAGTTTGTCATACTGTGGTGGCTTGTGAGTTACTATGATTCTGAAAGCTATGCCACCGGTATTTTAAATAACCAGCAGGATCACCCATGGTGGACAGGTTTCAGATAAGCTCCCAGACAAAGATAGACTAGGAAGAGTGACAAACTACTTCCGAATCTTTAGTCACTGAAAACCTTATGAATAGCAGGAAAACACTGTAAGATATAGTGCCAGAAAATGAGCCCCTCAGGTTGGAAGGCACTCAAAATTCGACTTGGGAAGAGCTGCCTCCTCAAAGTAGAGCTGACCGCGATGACGCGAATGGAGTAAAGCTCGTGGGAGAAAGGCCGGCAGAACCTTCATTTGGTGATGGGGCATAACTCAAAATGAAGAGAAACTGCTGTAAACATCCACTGAAAATCGGGACATGGAAAGTATGAAGTATGAATCTTGGAAAATTGGAAATTGTCAAAATTGAAATGAAACGCATAAACATCGATATCTTAGGCATTAGTGAGCTGAAATGGACTGCTATTGGCCATTTTGAATCTGACAACCACATGGTTTACTATGCAGGGAATGACAAATTGAAGAGGAATTGTGTTGCATTCATCGTCAAAAAGAACAAGTCAGGAGGTACAACGCTATCTGTGATAGGATAACATCCATGCGCCTACAGGGAAGCCCAGTTAATACCACTATTATTCAAATTTATGCACCAACCACTAAAGCCAGTGAGGATGCAATAAAATAATTCTATCAACTTCTTCAATCTGAAATTGATCACACATGCAATCAAGATGTATTGATCATTACTGGTGACTGGAATGCAAAGGTTGGGAGCAAAGAGGAAGGATCAGTATTTGGAAAATATGGCCTTTGTGATAGAAATGATGCTGGAGAACGCATGATAGAATTCTGCAAAACCAATGATTTGTTCATTTCAAATATCTTCTTTAGACAGCATAACAGACGACTATACACATGGACCTCACCAGATGGAAAACACAGAAGTCAAATTGACTACATCTGTGGAAAGAGAAGATGGAAAAGTTCCATATCATCAGTGAAAACAAGGCCAGGGGCTGACTGTAGAAGAGACCATCAATTACTCATATGCAAATTCAAACTGAAGCTGAAGAAAATGAAAACCACTCCACGAGAGCCAAAATATGAACTTGAATATATCCCACCTGAATTTAGAGATCATCTGAAGAAACAGATTTGATACATTAAACACTAAAGACCAAAGACCAGAAGAGTTGTGGGATGACATCAAGAACATCATATAGGAAGAAAGCAAAAAGTTATTGAGAAGACAAGAAAGAATGAAAAGGTAAAAAGGGATGTGAGAAGAGACACTGAAACTTGCTTTCCAGCGTAGAGATGCTAAAGCAAAGGGAAGAAACGAGGAGGTCCAAGAGCTGAACAGAAAATTTCAAAGATCAGCTCGAGAAGATAAAGCCAAATATTACAACAAAATGTGCAAAGATCT